CTTCATGGCTGGTCTGTCTGCAGCTCAGTGATACTGGAATCAGGGACAGAGACTGATGATCTGAGAGTCCCAGATGTGGTAGAGGGCTGGCTCTGTGCCGACAGATACTGGCTAATGGAGCGGTGTAGCTTCTCCGTGGCTACGCTAGCATTAGCTTGCGGTGGTACATTGACAGCTGTTATAGCAACCGAAGTGAACTCCCTAGGCAAGTAGAAAGGTCTACACGAAAGGTCTTCAATCCTGCTCCTGGAGGGCCACTGTCCTCCAACCCTAATCAAACACACCTGAGGCAGCTAATTAGGATAAAGGATTGCTTGAAAATCTCAAGCTGAAGCAGGCTGGATATAAGCTTTGCAGGGAAGTGGCCCCTCAGGAGCAGGGTTGAAGACCTATAGTCTGCTCTCAGGATGTCAGTATATGATGTTACAGTGTAGTGACTCTTTGACGGTGGCGTTTGCACACCAGCTGTTGTTTGTGTAAGTCCACCTCCTCTGCTCTTACCGGAATGACTATTTCTATCTGCTCTGAGGATGGCGCGGCCCGCTAGTTCGATAGCAGCGTCTGGGATGTTCTGATCCAGCCAGGTCTCTGTTATAATCATCGCACAGTAATACAAACTGTGCAAAGTAATCTGCAGTCGCACCTGATACATTTTGTTGTGAAGTGAACGGGTGTTGGTGAGAAAAAGACTTGGGATGACCAGTATATAGGGATTAGCCTTTAGCTTAGCTTGTTGTCTCCCTCTCTTACCCCTCTTCTGTTTTCTGTGCCTCCACTGTCTGCACCATCTCATTAGGGGAATGGTGAGCTTTTTGGTCACGGGGGAACACCGGATCTCCGGGGGGATAAAAGTCCCAGCTATTATTGTCTAGACTGCAGTGATTGTAATCTGCAACCATTGACAGTTCAACTCTACTGTACTGTACATATACGGCTGCTAGTGTACAAACAAAAAACGATACCATAAATCACAGAATAGCTGCCAAAACTTGTGGACTGCTACGTCAAGATGTGCCGCCATCTTGCCTGATTCAAATCAGAGATGAAAAGACCATTTTCTGCAATTTCAGGTAATTTACCATAGAAATATTGTGTTTTTGAAACCTTTTTAACAGTTATAGCACCACCTATGGTCCAAACTCCATAAAATCATAGAATCATACGTGGCATGAGCTCAACTAATGTTGTGAAGTTCTGAGGTTTTGTTTAAGAATTATAGGCTTTGGGTACACTTGGCCATGCCCATTTTCAAAATGACCCAGTTATAGCCATCCAAAGGGTGAGGTTAAAAATTATGATAATTATTGACCTAGAGAGTCGGACTCGTACTAGAGAATTGTACTGCAGTGATTTTATCAAGGTTGAGCAAAAAAAAACTAGGACTAGTTCGCAAAAGCAGGTTTTTCAAATATTCTCCCATATTTAAACAATTTGATTGACAGCAGTGGTCCTAGAGTTGTTCAGAATGATGAGTTCTATCATATGGTGTGAATATTGTGTGCATGCGTATAAAAATTGCATAATATACATTCATTTACGCACTTGAAAAACATGATGACCCCCCGATGGCCAATTTCTTTCCAATTTCTTTCTTTCCATTCCGATCGGCTTCCGTTAACTTTGGATGCTCAAACTTCATTGGCCGATGGCGGCTGTGCTTGGTTTTGTTGTTTTTTGAGATACGTGAAATGTCCTCATAAACTATCAGGGTACCTTGGACAAAGACACCACATGCCAGTTTTCAAGTCTGACTGTTGTGTAGCTAATAGGGTTGGGCATCGAGAACCGGCTTCAACTTGGAACCGTTTAAAAAAATAACGATTCCATTGGAACCCTTTAGAAAATTTGTTTTCGATTCCGGTCATCGGTTCCAAACGCGCAAGTTTTGGTCCAGAGTGGCCACCGGATTTGCCCGCTTGTTCTGTTGCAGCCGTGGAGCACGGCTTTATTTCACCTTAAAAAGCCTGGGTCGGCACAGTGATTTTCATTCCACTTGAATAAATATACATACACGGTTTGCGTGTGTACGTAATTGGTCCAGAATTTTTTCCACGCACGTCACAGGTTATGGGTTCTAATCCGCACTCGTATAGTTTTTTTTTCCTCATCAAAACCGAATATGTTCATCAGTGGTTGTATATCAAGCAGGGAAACGTTTGTTTGTGTGCAATTTGTTTTGTGATTTCACTGGAACGAATTAGAGTCTCCGCAACGGATTGAAGCGCGCGTCCGAGAGAAGACTGTGCGCGGGCCATAAGAGAAGTTGAGAACACTGTATCCGCACCACTGATCGCAGCGGCAACGTGCACTTTGATCACTTGATTTAAAAAACAACACATTTTAGCGCTAGATCGCATTTTATTTAACAAAAGAACGAAATTAATGCTCTGCTAGTTAACTGGAGATGATTTATTTATTTGTATTGGTCCATCCGTGCCGCGAGATGTTTTTGATGAGGACAATATCGACGAAAAAGCGGTGGGGACATGTCCCACCTTCAAATTACGCCTATGCTTGCAAATAAAAGGACACGCTACACTCCTTTTTAATTTGTACGACGTGCTGCGCAGGTCCACCGTCTCGTCCTCCTCGGGCAACCCTGCGCTAACCATTTCCTCCTCCCAATCAGGTAAGTGATCGTAGTGTAATAAAGCGCTTGACCAATTTGCTAATTGTGGTGAACAACAACGTTACTGAAATTAGAATTTATTTTTCCCCTCGTAGATGAATGTAGCGTTATGCAAATTCCCCATGCTAGTCCTAATATTACGGCTTATACATGTCCAGAGAGTCCAGACCAGGGTGCAAGTTCTGCAAATCTATTTTTTGGTCAGGTGCAGAGGCATTCCTAATTTTCTCCCACATGGGCTGCAGCTCCCAAAACTAAAATTCATTATTGAATCAAAATAAAATGTCCCTCTGTGAAATGAGCCTGTCCCATGTTTTGACTCCAAGCCCTCAAAGAATCGTGAATCGAAAAGAACCGAAAGGAAGAATCGGAATCAGAATCGTTCAAATCAAAACGATGCCCAACCCTAGTAGCTAAAGCCATTTTCCTGTTTTCATTTATAGAGCCACCAAGTGGCCAGCTGCCACGTCCTTTTGGTCAAATGATCCCATTCTGTTCAAGAGTTAGCCATTTTAGTAAAAGGGGCCACTCCCACTTAAAACATTCTGGCATCCAGTCGCCAAAGTAAATACAAATTTACATTTTTTAGATAATTATTGACAGTAAGACTAGATAAACTTTCTGCATTGGTTTGGGTCCGATCGGGCGAAAAACTTAGGACTAGTGCGCAAAAGTAGGTTTTACAAAAACTCCAAAATATCAACGAATATTTGGCGATCAAATCCAAGACGTGCTTTTGATCGCTGTCGCACCACTGTCAGGCCGATTGGGGCGAGCATTGGTGACGTTGTAGACAGGGTGGGTACCACCATCCCTCAAAGTTTCAAGTCTCTACGACTTACGCCAGTTTCACACTGCACGCGTTAGCAGAGCGTAAGCAGCGCGTATTTTTTTCAGCACCCATGTTAACAGATTAGAGCATTCACACCGCACGCAGAGGCGGCGCGGGAGCGCCGCGATAGTTTCTGCGTCCTGTCTATGTTTGCCGCGCGGCTTACACTGAATTAAAGTGACACTGCATTGATCATAGCCAAAATACACAGCAGTTTGACCCAAAAGCGCATTGACTGTTTAAAGCACAATATATATCATCAATCAAATGACCTCCATCAATTTAAACAGAAAACAAAGTCAACAAAAACAAAGATGAACCAAAAGTTATATAATATAGCCTATTAATTGATGAAATAAGCTTCTTGATAAGTCTTTTCTCTTAAATGTATTTGAAAACTAAATAAAGCAATGCCAACTTACCCATTATAGAGTACTTTGTCTGTAAACACGCCACGCGCGTCAAAAGCTGCCATTATGAAAGCAAAACGCGCGTGTCCTGCTTCCGCTCACCGCACGCACTGCTCCTGCGCTGCTTACGCTCTGCTAACGCGTGCAGTGTGAAACCGGCGTTACAGGTTGGTCTGGCTGATCATTTTAGGGCAGAATCTTGATCTTTGAAAATCCATCACGCTTGAACGCTTAGTGATATTAGTGTCTTTGTTTATCCCGAGGTTTTCCCGCAGCCTGCCGGATCCAGGCCGTGTCCAGATCTGACGAAGGAGATTCGCCTGGACCCGATGACAATGCAGTGCTGAAGTGTCCACTATCCTCTCCCTATGGAGGATCCCTTTCCCACTCTACAGATAAAGCGCTGTGAATTCCGGCTCGCGTACCCCGAAGTGATAAAATAAAACAAAATTCTGTATCAAAATGTATAGGCAAGAAAAGTAGTTTGTTTAGGCTGGGTTGTATGAATTACAAACCTGCGCACATATTTTAAAAAGCACATAACTATAGAATTCTGAATGAGCATGTGAACGTCGTCAGCGTTAATCACAGGTTTGTGTTTAAAGTCTGATCATTTCGACGGAGGTGAATCAATCAAAGTTAACTTTAGCTGGAAGTAACATTATTCAAGAACCGCTATAACGCCAAAACAATCTGTTACCTTAAATTATATGTTTATCTCTGTAAAGCTGCTTTGAAACAATTCATTGTTAAAAGCGCTATATAAATGAAGATGACTTGACTTGACTTGACTTGAACCCCTAGTCATGCTGATCCCATTCTTCATTCCAGGCCGCCCATGTTGTAATGAAAATATTTACGCATTGGAAAGCTCAGGTAAGATGGCGTAAAATTAGAACAGCCTTCTGTCAGTGCAGTCTTGCCTTCTTTGCTCACTTTCATCACTTGCTTGTATTCCCGCTCGCTAAACTGAACATACAATCAGATATTTCGATTTCAGATATTACAATCCGATCTCTCTCACCGACGGACCTGACGCCGATTCAACAGCGTCGGCTCGGTGTGTCTCAGCCTCTGAAAGCCTTGCAAATCAATTCAGATCAGAGTTAGTAAAACAAATGCAACTCACCGGTGTCTTTTTGTCCTCCCTGAACACGACTGCCTCCAACTTTGTTTCGTATTCTGCCTGGACTTGATCTCTCTTTTTAAGCACATTCTAACGAACGATAAGAGGTTTTACAGTTACAAACATTTGCCAGCAATTACAGTTTACATTCTCCAATTTCACTTTTTCAGCATGACCGGTTATTGAAATGTGTTCACTATATTCTCTACACTGGAGCCATGACACAAATATGGAGGCTATTAAAACGCTTCTTGTTTTTCTGCTAGTATTCTTGGATGTCTCTCTGGAAATGTCCTGCAGTGACACTTTGGAGAGAAGAAATGTTAAAACGAAATGCTTAAAAGCATCTAGTCAGTAGCAAAGCAGTAAATTACAGAACCATCATTCAGTTTCCTTAATATATAATTATATAGTCTTTGAAAATAAAGCACAATTAAGAACGCATATAAACCAAACAAATTTCCGTGTTTATGAACTGAAGTCCTGTCAATAATTTTAGAGCAGTTTTCAAGAAGGAAATATAAAGCCCCATCTCAGCACAGTGGCCACTCGTCTCGCAATATTTGCTGATTGTGTAGATGTGTCAAGACAGAGAGGAAATTACTTTGTCTGTTGAGTTGCATAACAATATTTCCTCAAAATGATGCACTAAACAGCAAAAACTGATTTTTTTTTTTTTTCAGTAAAAATATCTAAGCAGTAATTAAAACAAAATGCATACACTAGAATTTGGGGTTTTAAATTTTAAAGTTTGGGGTCAATTAGATTTAAAAAAAAAAAAAATTAAAGTCTCTTCCGCTCACCATCTGCATTTATTTGATATTGTAGCATTATATTACAGCATTATTGTGAAATATTACTACAATTTAAAATAGCTGGTTCTACGTGAATATATTTTAAAATGTAATTCATTCCTGTGATCAAAGCTGAATTTTCAGCATCATTACTCCAGTCTTCAGTGTCACATGATCCTTCAGAAATCACTCTAAATATGATTGATGCTCAAGAATCATTTCTGTTTATCATCAATGTTGAAAACAGTTGTGCTGATTCATATTTCTGTAGCTTCGTTGATGAACAAACAGCATCTATTTGAAATTTAAATCTTTTGCAACATTGTAAATGTCTTTACTGTCACTTTTGCTCAATTGAATGCCTCCTTGTATAAAAGTATTAATTTCTTAATACTTACTGACCTCAAACTTTTGAACGGTAGTGTTCATATTCAAAAAGTAAACCTGGACAATTCATTAAGAGTGGTTTAGAGAAAAAAAATGTCTTACCCTATTGGAAAACCTGACTAAATTAGTTAGATTTGTTTAAAACAAGAAAAAAAGCTATTTTACATAATTCAAGATATATTCTTATGGGGAAAAGGAAATAGGGAATAGAGTGAAGAAAAAACAGTGTTATAAGAAACCATGCTGCGTTCAGCGTTTAACACACAATAACTAAACATTGGCTTAGTTTTGGGAGAACATAATTCCAGAAATAATTCCAAACCATTACATTCCCTTTGCAAAAAGTCATAGACACATGGTATTTTTCCAAATGGTATAAATTGTTTTCTCTACTGGCCACTTAAACCAGTTAATTCACATCCAAAGTGGGAATAAAAGTGAAAAGCTCAGCTGAAAGCCGCTCACCTTCATAGATTCGATGTATAGGACGTATTCTCTAAGCACTGGGAGAAACTCCTCACTCATGTCCTCTGTGAGTTCGTCCAGAGCGCTGGAGCAGTTCGACACGCACCCCGACACCCCCTCCAGAGGATCATGCAGCTCTTCCTCGAGCGACGACCAGGACGAGTACACAGGCCCGTACTCTCTCAACTCCATCAAGAACTCTGAGCACAAACAAGGAAAAAGCTTGTTTTTACATTTACAGTTACAGTTGCCAAAGTCCACTTATGGGCTCTGCTTCAAAACTTGCCTTGCTGTCTATTTCCCACAAAGACAACTGCCTTCATCCTAACTGAACCTTACAAGTCTGATAGATTGCAATTTACAAAAGACAGCTAACGTCGCAAAACAATACGCATGAATAAAATATTCACAATATGAATTAAAAAAGGCATTGTGGCGGGGAAGCGTGCTTCAGCGGAGCCGGCAACGGGAGAGCGAGGCAGGAGACGAGTAAATGGGTCAAGTGCAGCACGACTAACACCTGTGTCTTATTGCAGTGTTTGGCACGTCATGGTCAGAATTATTGGCACTCTTGGTAAATATGATTAAAGATGGCTGTAAAAATTAATGTGCATTGTTTAATCTAACCTTTCATTGAAGTAAAACAATCTAGGGGGGGGTCCACATTATGAAATAAATGTTTTTCACCAAAACACGTTGGCAACAATTACTGGCACCGCTAGAAATTCTTAAGAGTGAAATATCTCTGAAGTATATTCCCATAAATATATACATAATACATATATCTTTTTTTAGCACACCAGAGTGACCAGGAACATTAAATTGTCCAGCTATGACTTCTTGTTTCACAGGAGTATAAATATGACAAAACAAAGGCCAAATTCCCAGAATCATCCATCACAATGAATAAAACCACAGAATATAGTTCTGATGTGCAGCAAAAGATTGTTGAGCTTCACAAAATAGAAAGTGGATGTAAGAAAACAGCTAAAGCATTGAAAATCCCCATTTCCATCATCAGGACAATAACTAAGTTCCAACTAAAGATGTTACGAATCTGCCTGGAAGAGGACGTGTCTTATTGTCTTAATGCACGGCGAGGAGGAAAGTTTGTGTGGCCAAAGACTCTCCAAGGCTCACAGATGGAGAATTGCAGAGATTAGTTGAGTCTTGGGGTCAGAAAAATATAAAAAACAAAAAACAAAAAAACTACATCACATGTTTGGGAGGGTTTCAAGAAAAATCCTCCTCTCTCTCATCCGAAAACAATCTCCAGCATATTCAGGTGTCAGAACTTCAAACGGGACTGGATTCTGTGGTCAGATAAAACTTAAAAAAAAAAATTTAAAAAGGGAAAATAGCTTTTTGGCAGCAAACCCACTAGACAGAAAGGGATTAAAAGTACCCCATGCCCACAGTTAAATACACTGCTGGATCTTTAATGTTGAGGGCTATTTTTTGCTGGAGGTCCTAGACATCAAGTTCAGATACCTGGCATCATGGATTCTAGCAAACACCAAAAGAGAAAAATCAAAACCTGACGGCCTCTGCTAGAAATCTTAAAACAGGCCATGGTTTGATCCTTCATCAGGACAAGGATCCAAAACAAACATCAAAAACAACACTAAATCTTGGGTAACTGAGCACAAAATGAAGCGTCGGCCATGACCATCCCAGACCCTGACTGAACCCTGTAGGGAATAAGAGCGGTGAACTGAAGAGAAGCACCAACAGGGAGCTGGGAATCTGAAGCATCTGGAGAGAAGGATTGACAATGCAAATGTATTTTTACAGGCTTCTTTGTTCAATAAGGGTGCCAGTAATTTTGACCACGACTGTATGTATGTATGCACGTATGTATGCATGTGTTTATAGTGGCTCAACGGACCACAAAACTCAAGGTTCGGATCAAATTGCGTTTTTGTAAATAACACTTGTGTTCACTGTATAAAATGTAATATATGTTAATCTTTGTTAAAGCTGTGTTTTGTGGTTTGATTAACATTAATGACAGACAACAGAAGGTATAGTCTACTGTCATTTTAAGACCTAACGCACAGATCAATATGATGATGCACATCTGATTTCTTTCTCAACTCCCTCACTTGAGACATAACCGACTGCGTTAACCAAAATTGTAAAAATATCCGTCCCTGCAAGTATTTTTGTAAAGTGTCCATAAATTCGGATTCAGAGTCCGCACGGTATCTGAAACACCCCTCTCTCTGGCGTGTGCGGCTGTGCACACAGATAACAGTGCGTGAGCCCCGAATTGAATTCTCCTTTGCCTCTTCCAGCGCTGAAATGGTTTTAAAATCTATTGAATGAGTAAACTAGCAAGACAAAACACGTGCAAATGATGACCTTTCACCTATTGTGGTTAAACCAAGCGGCAACCTCCCTGTCTCTCTCTTGAAACCAACGCGGAAGTGAATTAAACTGCAATTCATCTACTGACCGCTTGAGGCAGGCTGCAGAAGTGAGTCAAATCTGCATCTCCCCCATGTTAAAATGCCCAACTTTACAGCAGAAAAAAAACATGTTTACAGCCTGGAGCAAAAAGTGGTTCTGGTCTTTATAGCTTATTTTGCCCTTCATGACAACTGTGAGGGGGGTGAATTTTTTTACAACTCATCCGTTTAAATTATATTAAGCCTGAATAATTAAGGGTGTGGCCACTTGAGTGACAGGGGGATTGCGGCCGTTTGTCTGCTGTCTGTTAACGTCTCCCTCAGCTCTCAGCAGCTGCTGTACTTGCCATCTCTGCCGTGTTTGTGCTTTTTTCTGGATTATTTCATACAATTTAATACACGCATTATACCTTCGCCCACGCCGTTGGATTCCGCCGTTGTCGAGTATGGAGAGAACAACCAGCGCTGTATTTCCAGTTGTTTTCCTCGCGTGCACTAACGCTAATGGATGTCTGACAATTTCGTTGCTTTTTGGAGTTTAGATTTAAAAATGTCTGTAGATATAGAGACCACACTCGTTATCCGCTACTGTTGCTCTCACGGAACAGATATGCTTATTTAACTTTTTAGTGTTAAATAAAAAGTACCATCAGATGAAATCCTGCCGGTGTCAGTGCTTTCTCTCCGTCCATGCAATAGATGCACACCCTTGAATGAGCGCGGATTTCTAGTGCATTTACTTGAACTTCTTAGCTAATATCTTTGGTTTAACCCATTTGAGAAATTGAGAGGCGGCCAAAATCAGATTTTAAAATGGACTGAATAAAGCTTTACAGACTTGACGTGCGATGCCATGCTGACTCGACTGACATGTATGCGCATGAATCACTGTCACACACACAAGCTCAGAGCAATATTGTAAGTTACTGCATGATAATACATTTTTATAGCTGAATAATAATACATCACGATACACAGTATCACTTTTAGTTACGTCTTTTAACTATAATATTTCGAAGGGCAAAAACATGAACTTTAACTGTTGGTTTTAATTCTTCAATCAGCTGCCTGTCACTTTAGCGCGAGGCCAGTAGCATATAGCATTAGCACCTCAGCTCCACCCACGTCACGCCTCTTTGCCCATTTTATTTTATGGTAGTGACGAAAGGTGATGCGCTGCCAAGATGGCGACGGCCGGCCCCGCCCACTTTAGGCTTCAAAAACGCTCTTTAGAAACCTACGGGTGACATCACGGACACTACGTCCATATTTTTTTACAGTCTATGGGTTAAACTTAAAATTGATCTGCGAATAACATGCGTGCCGAACTGTTAAACGATCCATTTAACCCCTAATAGTTTAGTCATGAAACTCTAGCAAGCTGATAGGTCATTTACATGCAATCGGCAAGCAATCACATCATTACTGCATGGCACAAGCTGATTGGCCGCCGCGGATCCGACAGCTTTCTCAACATTTAAACAGTCTGGTTCAGTGTTTGCTGAAGGCTAGTCCTAGTACAGAGTTCCTTTGAGTAGAGGAATAGAAAGCATAGAACAGCATTTATTTGAAATATAAATCTTTTGTAACATTATGTGTACCGGTATTTACTAGGGGTGTAACGGTACACAAAAATCACGGTTCGGTACGTACCTCGGTTTTAAAGTCACGGTTCGGTACGTTTTCGATACAGCAAAAAGTAAGAAATGCCAGAGAAATTTCCAGGTTTATAAATGGGTGTCATCTTTGAAGGATGAACAAATAATGTTTTGGTCATCACATTAAAAATAACATTTAAATATATGTAGAGTTCAGATGCAAAAGCCATTTGAAATTTTCTTCTAGAATGATCATTTTTATCAAGCTTGTATATTTAAGTTCAGTAATTTCACTTAAATGGCAATGAAGATTACCTATTAATTGTCATTTGAGTGAAATTACTGAACTTATATATACAAGCTTCATAAAAATGATCATTCTAGAAGAAAATTTCAAATGGCACTTAGAGGCTTTTGCATCTGAACTCTTCATATATTTATTTATATAATATTTGAGTTTTGAAGTGCTGGAAAAAGATGTGTGAAGTACTTGAAAGCATTTCACTATTCCAGCCAAACTGGTTACAGTTAGTGTTACTATATTAAATCCATGGTGAATGTTGCTGGTCTGTGGACGTAAAGTATTACTAGTTCATTCACGGCACAATGTTTCTCCTGGTGTCCACGTCAGCGCTGTTTGATCTAATAGAGATCTACGGTTAATATTAATAACGGAGAAATGTGAATGCTTCTCAGTAGATCTCGCAGCGATGTTATTACTTCAGTGGCGAACTCAAATGTTTTCTTTACTGGATCTCTTAGCGCTGTGTAGTGACAGTGTCGCTTGATCGAGATCGGCTCGCGCTGCACAGATGTCGCTGGTCCGAACTGATAAACTATCCGTGAAGCACATAATGAGTAGCGCAGTTTCGTTCCGCTTTCATTACGCTTGCCATTTGATGCTGCGCAACGTTGTGGTGATCGCGCCAGCGCGAATTTTGTCAGTAGGAAAAATGGTCCAAGGAATCGTTCGGTTTGTATGCGTACCGAACGGGAAGCCTCGAACCAAAACGGTCCAATACGAATACATGTACCGTTACACCCCTAGTATTTACGGTCATTTTTATCAATTTCTTTCAAGTAAAGAGACTTTTGAAAAGTAGTGTATATGATCGGGTTTAAAGGACTTGTATATGCAATGCTAGCCTAGGATGGATGGAATTTCTCTTTAATAGGCCGAGAGGGACGATCTTTACCTGATTGCTCTTTGATGATTCTCTGTGCTATCCTGTCAATGGTGCCCAGCTTCTGTGTGAACATGTCCAGATAGTCGCCCATGGCGGAAAACTCAATTGGCCGCCCTCTCAGTTTATAACCACCCGTCACATACTTCACAGATTCCCCCATTTTAGTCAGCAGAGCCAGGCCTTGACGCTTATTCAAGTCCTGAAAAGTCAAGCATACAGTACATCAATTCTGTCAAATGGCTAACAAAACAAAAATGGATGCCAAGCCCAATGAAATCCCACTGAGTTTCTGAAACATGCAACTCTCCATTTTGTAATATACTATAAACAAATTTCAAGAGCTCAATGTTGTTGGGCCACTCTCAACACCACATCTGGATTCGCTCATAAACGGCTATTAGGGTTTCCAGCATTAGTAATCCATCTCAACGCCAGCAAAGGACACTGTGAGAAACCATACAAACCATTTACAATTCCTGTACACTTAGGTTATGTTTCTAAATTTGATTAACAAATTATTCCTTAAATTAATGATATAGTCAGTTTGGACTCAGGGCACTGAGTTCACAAAAGTATTGAGAAAACCAACAAAAAAAGAATATTAAAGTCTCGATTAAACGGAAGCAGCGACAGGTCTTTTCCTCTGTATTGTGACATACATCTGAGTGAAACGGATTGTAAGTAAAGATAGCAAATAAATGCGAGGGGCAGAGTTTAAGCAGACTAAATGATTGGAGGAGTTCAGTATACATCACCAGAGACAAGACTGTCAATTTACTGGAAGATCCAGGTATGATATTTTGATTCTAGGAATCGTTCAAATAACAAATCAAAAACATGCATTTAGAAAACACTTTCCATGCCGACTTTAACGCACTCACCTTTGCTGAGAGAAATGCATTGAAGTGTTCGTTGAAGGAGAGCACCGGATGGTCTGCTACGCGCTTGAGGAACTTGTCTAGTGCCTTTTTTCTGGTATCCACAAACTCCTCTGAAAAACGGTCCACCACTCCCTTCATTACAAACTTCTCAGGCAAGGGCTAAACGATAGCAGAAAGGAGAAACAACAACAAATGTAGTCGATCACATTGGTTTGAAATAACCGGTTTTAGTCAAGAACAATCCCTGCAACATTAAATAACTAGTTATGCAATGCACAAATGCTTGAAAGGAACTGGTCTGCGAGTGGAGCTGTGGAGGGGTTTCCTCTACCTACTGGAATAAGGTGGGTGGGTTGGCTTTCCTCTAGTTTGTTCCTCAGCCAGTCGAAGTCCTGGTAGCGTCGCCTTACCGAGTACTCAGGCAGGTCAAACTCTGTCCTGGTGGTCTGCAGGTCACGGAGAAAAAAAAAAAAAGTCAATAACAACTTTTTTTTTAAAGCAATTAACACTTGTATTCAGCAAGGACACATTAAATTGATCAAAAGTGACAGTAAAGTCATCAATAATGTTACAACAGATTTCTATTTCAGATAAATGCTGTTCTTTTGACATTTATATTCAAAGAATCCTGAACAAAATAGTTTTCACACAAATTTAAAAAAGCACAACAGTTTTCAATATTGATAATAAGAAATGTTTCTTGAGCATCAAATCATCATATTAGAGTGATTTCTGAAGGATCATGTGACACTGAAGACTGGAGTAATGATGCTGAAAACTCAGCTTTGATCACAGGAATACATTACACTTTACTGGCCTATATATTTACATAGAACACAGCTATTTTAAATTATAAAAATATTTTACAATATTTTATTTACTGTATTTATCAAATATGTTGTGTCTCATACAGGATTCTCACACTTTTGAGCTTCCATATTTTTTCATTTTTTAAATTAAGTTGAAATACTAAATTAACTCCACTTAAAATTAAATATTAAAATAAAAGCTAATTTAAATATAATTAAATGCTATAATAGTACATAACAAATTATATATATATATATATATATATATATATATATATATATATGACTGTTTTACAATCCACAAAAAAAAAAAACAGCAATGAGTTCATAAAGGGCTGACAGGACTGAGGTCACTGGGGTCTTTCATTAGCACCTCTATATGACTCGGAGCTCCAGAAAGAGCCACAGTGAGCATGTTTCAGGTCACAGTGGAAGCAGAACGAGTGTGCAAACAGCCGCCACAAGAGTTAAACAACTACTTAAGCAGACACTTTAATGCAGAGATTTACAGATAGTGTCAAACTGGGGCAATCTGATAGATTAGGAAACAATTCAGATTAACCACGAAGCCACATCAACCAATGAAATCTGTCTGGAGAGGCTTATCCTTCATGCACTTTTAAGTTTGAAATAACTGCACGAATCAAAACAGCATTTGGTTGTTAATAAAGTCAAGAAAGAGCTTTGCCCTCTGACCTTTGTGCAGACTCTGTAGGTGATGTATGTCTCCATCGTAGACACGTGTTTCTTAGGATCGTCTACAGTCACAAACAGGTCTCGCGTTTCTCCGTCCAGATCGTCGTCGAGCTGCAGTCGGTTCAGCAGAGATGAGGAGGAGGCGGGGCTTGATGTGTCTACTGGAGTCCCATTGGGCAGGCTCAGGTCCTGGGGGCGGGGATATACGAACACTGACTGACTTAGTGGAACAAAACTGATATCTTATATTTGAAATGTAAAGGTGAAGAAATGTACACACAGAACTAAAAAAAACCCTACGAATTAAAACAAAGAAAAGTTCATTCAAACAGATCTTGTTGGCAAATCCAATAAACGGTAGACTCAACCAGGACTTACACAATAACCCCTCAGTGCCACATCTGCAGTTATAGAAATACCATATTCTTAAAAAAATAAATAACCAACTTAAATATTATTTACAATTTCCTATTCTGAAACAACAGCAATAGAAAAGGTCACTTACGTTACGTGTGATATGTAACAGTGCAGAAACCATGCATTTGATAATTTAAGATCACAGTAATACAAGCAGCATGACGTGTGTGAAGCTCTGAAATAAGACATAATTCAGTGCTGTAACACGGTCGCATTAAGCCTAAAACTGTGTACAAACAGTCAATGCCTAGCATACTAAAATACTACCATCATACCCCCAGATGACATAATATCATGATAATTTCATTGGATTACCAAAAGGAAAGATATTTTTAGGGCTATTTATTTAACACACTAATTTGGTACATTTACTAAAAGAAAAAGAATTATAAATAAATATTGATTTATCGTTAAAATAATGCAAATGAACAATTCATGCCTCTTACTCTTGTTTTTACGTTTCCATCAGTGTGTAATTTAGCTGTTTGTGTATAAACAATCTGAAAAGTTACAAAGCACAAAGTCCATGCCAGAGGGAGTGAATCTCTCCAAACAGAAAACACTGGTGATTTCAAACCATTTTCAAGTGCAAGAAGAAAACTCAATTCTGTGTTCTTGGCTCTCACATCCAAAGCGCAGAGCACCGACTCATATATATATATATATATATATATATATATATATATGTATATAGTGCTCGATACTTGACTGAGTTCTCTTTCACATCTTCTTGCACTTGAACACACAAATACACACACAAAAAGTCAAAATATCCTTGTGTAAACAGTCGGTTTGGTCTTAAGTGAGTGTAAACAGTTGAGAAATAAAAAGCATGTGTAACAGTATGTTGGATGAGTGCATTTGCTCTTAAAGTGACAGCAGCCTAATAAACCTGATGCCATCTCTATAATAACATCAACAACAGAAAATCGCTCACTGATCTTGACTGAATAACTTTTGTAAATATAATAAGGATTCATCTATATTTTATTTATAAAAAGAAAACCATGCTGTGTTATTTTACATTTAACTGCAATTTCTGTAACTGAACTTTGTTCAGTTGTATTTATAAGTGCTACTGCTGATTGGTTTATTTGTTCTTATTTTATTACCGTTTACTCGTATTTTTATAATGTTTGAAAATTATATTAGTTAGTCCAGTTGTTTTTGCTGTGGTTTTTTTAAGGCTGCTGATTTTTGTTCATGGTATTCAGCTGCAACAAAACATTTTGCCCAAAGACAGAATAAATGCCTAGTTCAGTCATGAAACAATAGATGGCGCAGGCTGACGGGTCCTTAACGAAAGCGAATGAAATTTACAGCGTTAACTACTTGGCACAGCTGATTGGTTCATGTCGCATCTGCAGCCAATGAGCTCGCTGCTCAACACTTAAATGGCTGGTTACCATTCACTGCTATAGCAGTTTGCAGCACGCTTTCAGAGTTTGTCTAAAGCCCTCCTCCTTCCCCAGCTCCACCTGTATAGATCGGCTATGGGTGACCTGCTACGGGTGATTGGCTACGGGTGACCTGCTACGGGTGACCTGCTACGGGTGACCTGCTACGGGTGACCTGCTACGGGTGACCTGCTACGGGGGATCGGCTACGGGTGACCGGCTACGGGTGACCGGCTACGGGGGATCGGCTACGGGGGATCGGCTACGGGGGATCGGCTACGGGGGATCGGCTACGGGTGACCGGCTACGGGTGACCGGCTACGGGGGATCGGCTACGGGGGATCGGCTACGGGTGACCAGCTACGGGTGACCGGCTACGGGTGACCTGCTACGGGGGATCGGCTACGGTGGATCGGCTACGGGGGATCTGCTACGGGTGACCGGCTACGGGTGACCGGCTACGGGTGACCGGCTACGGGTGACCGGCTACGGGGGATCGGCTACGGGGGATCTGCTACGGGTGACCTGCTACGGGGGATCGGCTACGGGGATCGGCTACGGGGGATCTGCTACGGGTGACCGGCTACGGGGATCGGCTACGGGGATCGGCTACGGGGGATCTGCTACGGGTGACCTGCTACGGGTGACCTGCTACGGGGGATCGGCTACGGGGATCGGCTACGGGGGATCTGCTACGGGTGACCTGCTACGGGGGATCGGCTACGGGGATCGGCTACGGGGGATCTGCTACGGGTGACCGGCTACGGGGGATCGGCTACGGGGGATCTGCTACGGGTGACCTGCTACGGGGGATCGGCTACGGGGATCGGCTACGGGGGATCTGCTACGGGTGACCGGCTACGGGGATCGGCTACGGGGATCGGCTACGGGGGATCTGCTACGGGTGACCTGCTACGGGTGACCTGCTACGGGGGATCGGCTACGGGGATCGGCTACGGGGGATCTGCTACGGGTGACCTGCTACGGGGGATCGGCTACGGGGATCGGCTACGGGGGATCTGCTACGGGTGACCGGCTACGGGTGACCGGCTACGGGTGACCGGCTACGGGTGACCGGCTACGGGTGACCGGCTACGGGGGATCGGCTACGGGGGATCGGCTACGGGTGACCGGCTACGGGTGACCGGCTACGGGGGATCGGCTACGGGGGATCGGCTACGGGTGACCGGCTACGGGTGACCGGCTACGGGTGACCTGCTACGGGGGATCGGCTACGGTGGATCGGCTACGGGGGACCGGCTACGGGTGACCGGCTACGGGTGACCGGCTACGGGGGATCGGCTACGGGTGACCGGCTACGGGGGATCGGCTACGGGTGACCGGCTACGGGTGACCGGCTACGGGTGACCGGCTACGGGTGACCGGCTACGGGTGACCTGCTACGGGGGATAGGCTACGGGGTGACCTGCTACGGGGGATAGGCTACGGGGGATAGGCTACGGGGGATCGGCTACGGGTGACCTGCTACGGGTGACCGGCTACGGGGGATCGGCTACGGGGGATCGGCTACGGGTGATTGCTATTTGTGCAGCAGAAGCAGCATGTCTTGCTCACAGCAGTGTATCGCCGTATATATTGGCAGTAGCAGGTCCTGTACTTGCTCAACAGCAGCGCAGCAGATCTATCTGATGCTCATCTTGGAATAATGGTTACTATTTCACTTTAAAATATATTTAAAATCAATAGTAGGCAGTATGCATTATATAATGCATAGTATTCAGCAAGTAAGCTATTATCAATTTCAAACATGTTGTTGGAGCCTTCAGTAATTCAGCTCTCCAGTCACATGATACAGCAGTGTTTCCGCTACATTCATTCTGCCGTGGCGGGCCGCCACACCTAAAATCATCCCGCCACGGCTGCAGCTTCTCGGTCCGATATTGTATGCGTTATTGTTAAGCCCCACTAAAGGCATACAAAACATTGTAAAGCACCATAAAGTTTTCGCACTATATTCCAAGACTTCTAAAGTCATTCAATAGCATAATGTGAGGTAAAAATGTACATTTAAGTCGTTAAGTTAAAGTTAATGGAAACTCATCTCTCCTCAGTCATTCTCCATTCAGCATTCAAACTAGGGGTGTAACGATATTTGAACCGAACCGAAAAACCGCGATACACCACCCACGATACGTATCGCGATACTCTCATGGCGAACCGAACACGCCCCGCCCCCTGCTGCCCCGCCCAGCCCCGGCTCATTGCACCTCATGTGTTATGTGTACACAACGAATACAGGGCTGTTGCCTAACCACCATTAACCACATATAATCGCAATAAGCTCAGTGTTTTGTTACTTTTGATAATAAGCAAGGTGTAATCTTTCAAATTATGTCTATTTGATCACGAAATGCAAACAATAAATGCCGTTTTGGCGCTCTTAGATGTGGCGTGACGGATATCACTGTATGCATGCGGCAGCGCGGAGCGCGATCATCTCTTCCTCAGTTACAGAATAAACATGAATGGACACCCGAAGGTATGTTGAAAGATACAGTATACTTACTGAAAGGCATCATAACTCGTGTAAACACTCAATCAGTGTTTCAACTGCGGAAATACGTCAATAACACGCTTAGTTTTTCACATAGCTTTATATTTACCTCAGGCAAGTCATTCAGTATCCACAGCTCGCTGGTTTGCTAACTCTTTCACTAAATAAATGCTATATATTAGCCTATATATTATATTTTACTTAACCTGTTTATGATATCTTGATTATTTAATGTATGTTTAAAATAGTTGTCATGAAAATAACAGCAACTGTGTAAATTATTATATAACAATAACAAATTAGAGTAAAAACATGTTAATGCAAAAATTGCCTCATGTGCAGTTTACATGTTTTCATACAATTTGTTATTTGAGTGTTGATTATTATTATATAATTTAGGCTAAAAGTCTAGGCTCTGTTGTTAAGCTTTAATGTTATAGTAATGTGCAAGTAAGGGCTGTAGTTTACAGCATTAGCAGATAATTTTGTTATCCTTGAGAAACGTTTACTTGTAATTGAATTAATTTAAAGACAAGGACACAATTTGTTCATTAAAGCACTGTTTAATAAAAAATAAAAGCAATTTTAGCTTTCTAAACCCCCCCACCCCACCGAAATGAACCGAACCGAACCGAACCGAGACCTCAAAACCGTGGGACGAACCGAACCGTCAGGTTTGTGTATCGTTACACCCCTAATTCAAACAGCACGTCACGTTCGGTTACGACAGTAACACGACGACACTCTTCAAGATCAATGTTCCCATTATTATACTTTATTTGTAGATAAAGATCTATGGTTTGCATAAAATTACTTTATCTTGCTGGAGTTTATAGCGCTTTCTAAATCATATTCCTTTCTCCCGGGTGTCTGTTACTACAGCACTAGAGTAGAGAGCACTATGAATTGTTCTTCATGCGCACTGTAAGTTAACTGAAATTTAAAACTGTTAAAAGAAAAGGCTCAATAAACTGTTGCATAGATATAATACATTAAGCATAGATAGATATAATCTCTTCGCTTTGTGCTTTGAACTTTTCAATGCGAAGCGCTGCACGCTGTGACTTCACGTTGTTTCAAGTGCATCACTCTGCGCACGGGATGCGCATAATCGCTTTGCCGCTCTTATTGGCGCCTTTCATGTTATAATGCTTAGGGGAGGTTTAAACACCTGGGATAAGGGGGCGTGGCGAATGGGAACATCACTCATGGGCCACGCCCCCTCCCCCTGGCGAAATGGGCCTGCCACCACGGCTGGAAAAAATCCTAGAGGAAACACTGTACAGACCGCTTAACTACACTGAAGACTGTGGCACTGAACATCATCCTGGGTTTGGTCTTATGCACGTCACACTACATGATAAATCACTCACATCCATAGCGCACAAAACTGAGATATGCTTTAAAATGACTTAACGATATTTTCAATAAACAAAAAAAAACAGTTTAAATTGTAATAATATTTCATATTACTGTTTTTGTTGTATTTTTGATCAAATGGGTGCAGACTTTTGAACTGAATTGTATATATTTCTCATTTTACTTTTTATTTTTAAAGGGAAAAAAAGGAATTCACAACATAAAAACTCGCAGCAAAATGTTGGAATTACATAGAGCGAACGAACATCCTATTTTCAGATCCAGCCTTTAGGAAACGGTGACAGCTTTTCCTGATCACATGCCCACTGTTGAGCTCGAACACAAGTTCTGGCCTTCCTTCTGCTGAGCTGACAGACGAGGGGTAGTGCACAGCCCTCTCTCACCCTAACATTCACATCAACTCACACCCCGTACAACACGCCTCTCAGCTTTATTCCCATTCAGCATTCGTTTTTGATCTTTCTGACAGTGTTTGCATTCAGAAGGAGCAGACATGGTTGAGGATCAAGCAGCAGTTGTCAAAACTCAAGAAGAGTTGGGGAATGTGCTACTAAACTAATTATGAACCGTGAGACTGTGGTGATCTTAGACCTAAAGCCAGAAGAAAACTATTCATCACTCAAGACTGAAGGTGTACTTCTGCTTTGTTCCCTTTCTTCACAGTCTACAGAAAATAACAAATTAGAAGATTTGTCAAAGTTCATGAACTTACGGTCTGGAGTCACACACAGTGTAAACAGACAGTTTCAATGACTGACCAATGACTGCAAACCAGTCATACAGTGGCCCCAAAAAGTGTCCGGACACTTCAGCCGCACTGAAACAAGTAGCATTTACTTTAAAATCAACATGAAACAAAATGGATAATTCTTGTTTTTGTTATAAAATGTTGCAGTATGTGTTATAAATGATTTATCTGTGCACATCATTATTGTAAATTCATGTGGTGGTAAATTCATAATCATAATCTAAACCAGAATAACTAGCTTGAAGCTCTTTCTCTTCTCTGATGATGAGGGCGGGGCAATAACCTGTCAATCACATGAGATCCACCAATAGCTTTAGAGAAACATTACACAAGCACAACTTATTCAGCTAGGAAACCTGCGAACTTTCATGGCCGTCACAAACCTGAATAGCCATAACTCAATGTTTTCTTATGCAACCATATGCATGGGAGTTTCAATAGCAACACAATGAATTATAACAGGAAATTCATTCATAAAAGGGTCAGTCACAAAAAAGCATCACAAACTACACAGAGCGTGTTTTAAAGACTTTTGTTATTTGCATTGTCAAATAAAATACTTATGATTGACTTAAAGAGACTAGTCACTGGGAAAGTCGTTTTCGTGAAGCATTTGCAAAACAGAAGTTGTGAAAAACACACAAGGGAATAAATACTACTCAGAAAATGTAAACTGCAGCCAAGTGTGCAACAGATTCGAGCTTTTCTACTGATTTGGACCTACTTGTTTAGATGTATCACCATAAAATGATTGCCATTTCAGAAAAAACTGAAAATATCTAAAACTGTTCAAGGAAACTGGATAAGATAAGGCATATATCACAAAACATTGAGTTAATTATTTACATGTTTTTACCAGGAAAATATGCATTACCCCAACATGACAGAGGAACTGGTGTGCCGTCCTAACATTACATTTACACTACAGCTGCACGATTAATCGCTAAAAGATCGAGAACTCAATTCAAACACCCACTAAATGACAACGATTCGACTTTGTCTATTACGTTTGACGAGTACGAGTGCGTTCTGAGCCAGAGAGAGCAGTTCTCATGTGTTGGTATGAAACCGCTTCACAAACAGTCTCTTCAACCACACAACAGTATCGTTGTTTCTGTCTAACAATAACTCAGATTATTACAGAAGAACTGGGATAAAAGGTTATAGTTCGGATAAAACACTGATGTCTACAGAAGCAATGAAACAAGTAAAGTCTCTGAGTGAGTCGTTGACTTATTCACTCAAGATATTCATTCAACAACGCTGATACATTCAGTCATTTTAATTATTCATTTAAATTAATTAAAACAAATTTTTAAATAGACTGCAGCAAATAACATTTGTCGGAACATCAAGTAAATTACATATTTTTATTTTGTTTACTTTGTTCAGAATCGTGGGGAAATCGTAATCTTCTCAATTTACCCAGGATCGTGCGGCTCGAATACAAATTTACCATAAATATATTTTTTAAAAATCCAGTTTTCCCAAAATATTTACACTGTCAGAATCACAAACGTGAGTTTCTGCTTATTAACACTAATCCGCAAAGACACACCAAATTTGAGCAGTAGTTACAAATATAGCAGTGCTGAATCTAAATAAGCTGAATAAGCTTCCAATCTTATTCCAGACATCTTTAATACTCATGTATAGATACAAGTAAAAGGCTAAAATTATATAGAATATATTATTAATATGAACTAAACAACAATTCCCAGCATTTCCACTAAAATAAAATATCCACTAAACAGGGAAGCCACAGTGCAAATGAATGTCTGTGAAAAACACAATAAACAAAGGAGTCGGAGAGCGTCTCAGCCTCGCTCTACACAACTCTATTGTACAGGAACACAGGCATGATACACATCTACAGCTTCCACTGCGCACACACACACACAAACACACACACTTTAATACTACTGTTATTATAATTCATATAGCAATGCTCCATCACATGATATATTCATATACAAATCCTTCGTTCTTCAATTTTCACCGTAACTTCCCTTTTCCTTTAGGTCTAAATTTAGTGATTTAAATTTTCTGGACAAAAATAAATATCTAATTGTCTGCATGCACAACCCACATCATAACTGAAAGCTTGGAGATCACATGCATTTAATTTCATACTCGTTCATCAAACCCTCTTATGAGTAAAAACGAAGAGAAAAAAAAATGCACTCCATTCAACCCACAAAAAAATACTGTGATGGTATACATCAACCGTGGTATATCATTATCAATCCACAGTACCATACTGAATAAACACCATATTCATAAGTCATGGCATTTAAATGAAACATAGTACATGTCCACCATGGTACAAGACCAATAAACCATGACATTAAAATGGTAAAAACAAATCCTGTTATGGGTGCATGGTCAAAAGCCAAGATAGCACTACAGTACATAGAAAAACATATTAATAATATCACGCTGCATAGGTTATACAACATTTACTTTATTGGATTTACTTTAAAATAATCTTCATTCAGAAATTACAAGCAAATTTTAAAAACACTTACAAAGAAATGGCAAGGAAGACTGTAAATTAAACATGAAATAAAGTATTTTCTGGTAAAACGTACACTGTGTTTTATTTACTCTACTGTACTTCGAAGACTATTTGTTTTTACACTGAAGATGTCTATTAGATATTACCATGGCAGCATTGACTAAAAGCGGGGTATTACCATGGTGAAAATGGATGGAATTCCACTGTTTACAGTTTGAGGCTGGATAAACGTTAACGTTACTTGGCTTCCAGACACATAATGCCGCCGTTTAACTGTCCAGCGTCTCAGACACGACTCCCGCCAGCCCAGGGATCGGCTGTGGGCTCCAGCAGTGTGTCCCGCAGACAGGGGAGTGTGTCCCGCAGACAGCGGTGTGTGTTTGCGACGGATCTCACCTTCTCTCCTCCTCCAGCAGGAGCACCACCGCTGCCGGGGTGGATCAGCGCATCTGCGCCGCGGCTCGACGCGCTCTCCTCGGCGGCGCACAGCGGGTGGCGGATGTCCTGGATGTTCTTCTGCCCGGACGAGGCCAGGGATCGCGGGGTGCCAGCACTCATCGCGCCGCTGCTGCTGCTGATCTCTGATGATCGCGCAGGTGTTTTTATTTCACTGAGGCAGCGAACATCTGTCAGCTGACCCCCACCGCGCAGAACCGGAACTGCACTCGTCAGCTGACTCGAAACTGCGACGTGCACTTCCGGAACGCGTCGCCTCTTTTCAAATTAAAAGTAATCGTTTGCGTCCCAATTCGCCTACTTATACTACGCCCTAAAAGTATGTACTCTTTTTGTGAAGAAAAAGTACATACTTTTGAGTGTGTATCAAAAGAGTAGGCAAGCTTTGGGACATACTACTTCGTCATCTTTAACGGACAGATCTGTCGCGTGCACTGCCCTGTCAATCATTTCGTCAGTTAAAATCCTCCATTCAATCTAATATAACTTCTTACTATTTCGGAGAGAAATGTTGTCGCACGTTCATCTGTCGTGGGTCTTTCATGCCGAGACTCTCCTCATGTGTTTGGAATTTGAATATAATAATGCATTTCAAAGTTAATGGCTAAACGTATCTTTGCAAAAGATCACAATGCTGCTGCAGATGCAATATAATGTGGACAACATTGAATAAATACATTTTCGTCAGGTTAGATACTGATAATTAATCACTCTCAAACCCCTTTATCTAAACCTCTCTACATAACCGCCGGACTCGCGCGTCCTCCATGTCTGTAGTTTCTAAACACTTTTTACTCGTGTTTGTAGTTCTAATCGAATCCTCGTCCAACGCGCGATGGGTTGTGGGCAATATCAGCCGTTAAGAGTGCGCATCGATCTGCACTTCGGATTCTGACCGGATATAGTAGACCATCCGGGTCTCTTTGGAACACTCATTTCAACATACTACGATTTGGGACGTACTAATTCTATTTTCGAATACTATTTAGGACAGATAGTATGCGAATTGGGACGCAGCACAAGTCATCTTTGATCACCAAAATTACATATTTAAGCTTTTTTTTTTTTTTTTTTTTTTAAATGATTGCATGCCTTAAAATAGTTTGAATTTATCTCTTGATTGTATCACCCTTGCCTCATTTAGTATACTTAATATTCTATATTTAGTATTCTATTAATATGCAAATGAGCCCCGCCTCCACTCACTCACTCACTCAGCTCAGAGATCCACTGGTTGACGATCACACGTTGATCTAATTGGTTACAAGGTAGTTTGTGACGTCAGAAACACCAGCGATTTCAAAGCGTGTTTTTGAGACTGTCTTTGGTTCACTGCAGTTTTAAGCAGAACATACTCAGCAATGCTGTCGACTTATGAACTTACACATGGTTTGTCTAATGCATATTAAAACACAGCATAGGCATATTAACAACCACAGGGGAACTTGTGGAAGTTTTAGGATGCACTGAGTGATATAAAATTCATTCCTGATACAAACATATTTCTTTCTTTCTTTTTTTTCCACTGGTTTGAATCTATGGTATAATTCAATTGAAGCTTTTAAAAACTCTGATTCAAACGAAATAAATCGATTCGCAAAACTCAATTCGCTCGAAACGCCGCAGGCGTTCACACTCTACCCAAATGTACAGACAAATTACAAGTTTTCATGAAAATGCAATCTGTTAAAAGTATTCTTCAAATAATTAAATACCAATAAATATAAAGTTTCTGTCAAATTTGTGTTATTTTATTTCAATGTGTAGTGCTTGTTGTGTGTGTTGTTATTTAGGCAGGACATGGCAAACTATGTCAATTAGCCAAGTGTCATTCTTCTTTTTTATTAAACATGTGCATAAATGTATTAAATTTGTCCTTACATTATAAAACTGGCACGCTTAATTAACTCGTTCGTTGGTTAACCAAATCAACGCCATCTATAAAAGCGAAGGATCAGAATATGGAATGTTTCTTTATTATCATTACATTATACATTATACACGCTGAAATGCAAATGTTTAACAATATACAATTATGCACGCAAAAACAAAACAGAAAAAGAACAAGAATAAGAGAAAAACAACTACAGAAATAAATAAATAAAAGTCCTGCTTAATAGTATACAATTCAGAATAAGGGTACAGTTAGGTTTAAAATAAAATACATACATACATACATACACACATACATAAATGTTTCGAAACAAGGTTCCAACGATTTGATGTTTCAAAGCCTCATTTGTTGAAATCACGTGACTTGGCGAAGAAAGCTAGAAAAACAACAACCTTATTTAAAATTGACCTAGACAAGTATATGTAAACTATCCAAAGCTCTGTTCATCCTAAAGCAATGAAGACTGCATTTTTATATTCGCCTTTTGTGGCCTCACACGGTGTAAATGTATTAAATGTTTTCCTGTTTTACCCTGGTTACCTTTTTAGACAAGATCCGAATCACTGATTCGGAATAAAGGAGTCGGATCTTCATGAAGCTCGCGTCAGTAATACCGAGCGCCACCGCGGGCGGCAGTAACGCGTCACTGAAGAGGAAATCGCTGAAATAATACACACAGAAGAAGAAGAAGAAAGATCGCGTTCCTCTGTCCACGTGCGCTGATAGATGTGAGCTCGTGTCCTGCGCGAGGAGAAAGCAAAAGGTAGATAACAGTTTAATATTCCGTTCAGCCGACTGATTTGACTTTGTATTGCTCTTTATATTCAGAGATTGAAGATTTGACCTGGCCCAATGATTAAACACACTACCCATCGGACCCCGACTCAGGGGAAAGATGATCCACTCTTGCATGAGGGTCGATCTCGGTCTTCTCCATGACTGTGAGTGTGAGGAGAGTGTTTCTGCGCTAACTTCTCTCTTCTGCTCTTCGTTTCAGCCCTGGCTCGTGTGGGGGAAGACTACACACATCTGTTGTGTTTTTGGGGAATAAACACTCTTGTCCGCTAGTGTTTTCTGTCATGTACTTTTGTGTTCAATTCAATAAATATCATACATAAACAATCTTTCTGTGGTGTGTTGTTTTTGGACTCTGATTCGTTGTTTAGAGTATTTTTTTAAATTTAAGATAATAATGATGGAAATGTATGTTCAGTGTTGTGTGGACCACAGGAAGACTAACTAGCGGTCTTAAAAAAAATGAAATTTTGGCCAATGCCGAAGCTCATGTTCTGCAGATCTTTACGACTTTGTTCAGACACTAGAAAATAGTTTGAATGTAGATATACTAACAATATTGTAGAAGTGTTTTGTCTATGGGAAATTATATAATCAAAAGATTAATCTTAAAATAGGCAGAAACAATTCGGTTCAATATTACCAATAAATAAAAAACGCAGATAGCTGAAGATGAACTATATGGTGCTGATGATAATATTAATCTCCTTCAACCCTCATAGTAACATTTTATTGTAAAAATGTTCAAATAAGAATTTACCTTAATTTATAACAAATATACGTTAATCAAAAACACACCGTCTAACCGTCGATTTGCGCGTCCTCCGGTCCAGCAGGTGCGCTGTGCACGCGCTGTGCACGAACACCGTCAGAAGAGCGAGCGAGACTCGCGCATGATGGGGACGCGCTTGAAGGTGAGAAACAACAAACATTTACAATATTGATGTTTTCTTACATTCTTTAATATATATAAGTTGTTTTCCTATAGTGTCTTTATTACATCATTTTTTGTATTTAGTTAACACATTGTATCTGCTATGTTTGTTAGCAAACTCAGTAAACGGGCTGCTGTTATTACATTGATACAATTTAAAAATTGATCTGTCTATTTAAAGGTGTTGCGGGTGTTCAAAGATCTGCACAGAACAAGAAGAGATGTGTTTAAAGATGACGGCAGAGCTCTGACTGGTATCACTGAACACACACACACACACACACCAAGAACTCATATGCTGCTTTACATGCCTAACGTGTTACACTGACAGCTTTTATTCATGTTTATCCATTTTATTATTATTATTTGTTTAATTGTAATTCCTGCCCCGTCTTTAACTGTTTTTCAATCTTTACGTTCTGAATAATAAATCATTCAGAATGTGTATTTCAGTATATATGATATAAAAGTGTGTTTCTGTGGCATTGGTGTGTGTTCGCTAATGTCTGACACACGGTTTCCCCCTGTGGACCTGAAGCTGCCAGGCTCAAAATCAATGAAGAATTCAAAAGGAACAAGAATGAAGCATCAGAAGAAAATATTAAAGAGGTAAATAAATCACACGAGAGACAAATGTTATTTGGGTCACAATGAGCAAAATATTTGTACAGCTTTTATTAAACTGTGTTCAAGTTAGTTCACAGTGCATTGACTAGTTAACTGTGAAGCTCTTTGGGCAACAACGTTGCTATTAAATGTGCTATATAAATAAATAAAAGTTGAAGTGAAAGACTAATATTACCAGACACACAACATTTGATCTTTAAACATGTATTAGTAAATGCTGAGGTTATCATGGCCTACTTTTCATTGTTAGTTCATGTTAACTAATGTTGACAAATTAAACCTTATTGTAAAGTGTTATTGTTCCTTTTATATTTCATCTTATTTGAAAGTTTTAGTAATTTTGTTGTTTTTCTTATTATTATTATTTTTAGGTCTTTGTAGTTAGTTTTTGTTATTCTAGTACTTCCTACTAAACAAAAATGCTAAATGTTGCATTGGTAAATAAAATAAGTTTCTTTTACATTTGATCTCATAGATAGATATTAAACCGTCACTCAGTCCGACTCTGGAGAATCACTCAGTTTGATATTTAATGCGCTCTTTCTTCTCAGATGCTGAAAATGGCCCGGTCAGTTGAGACCATCCTCCGGGAGAGTGTGATCCAGGTTGAGCATGTGGCAGAAAACAGAGTCTGTGAGTGATTAGTAGGGGTGGGAATCTCAAAAACACGTTCCGGTCACATTTCAACCCATATAAATAGACAATCAAGCATGTTTTTGTCCAATCAGGATTTTTTGCATGGTGGAATTTCAATGAAATCTAACCATATCCTCCCAAAATAGTTTTTCTGATTATTACCGTATTAAAGAAGTGATTTTAAATCACCATGTATTCAGACAGTACAACAAATAACATACCTTATCATTTCAATCGTATACGTTTTTCGTAAGTTGATGTATGTTATATTAGATCATAAATCTGATTTTTTTTTTTTTTTTACTTTGGAGTGATAAAAGTTTGAATT